ACCCTTGTGAATATATTTCGCAGAATGGAAAATTTTATATATTTTCATCTGAATATATATGGTGGTGGTGGTGGTGGTGGTGGTGACTGCTAAGAAAGCATAAATGCTTGTTAGTAAGCAACCAGACGGCCGGCGGCTTTAGGTCCTCTCCGAGGGACCTGGTATAATGAGGATTAATGCCTTACCAAACGGCACTGGCGCATCGTCTTGGTTTCGAAGCCGGGTCACCGGATTACGAGACCACTGCTCTATACCACCTAAGCTATCGCGCCTCCTATATGCATACACATCAGACTGTAAAAGGATGTATTTGTTCATTTGTATTGTTTGTAGAATTAGTAGATACAAATTTATCTTTAAACGTGCAATTGATGTTTCACAATTACGTTCGTTGTTCAGTTAAATTTGGATGAACTTGTGAACCGATGCAAAAATAATTACATGTATATTTGTTTCAAGATCCACTTCTTTCCTATATGTGCAAGACATGCTCTTTACTGTTTTCGAGCCCAAAATTAATTAATTTCAATTGTACGTGGCAGTTGATTCCGTTTTGTGCACCTGTTTTTAATGGAGGTTTTACCTTAGAGCACATACGAAAATTAGAAAGAATTCAGAAAAGGGTATGTAAAATCATTTTAGGGAAAAGTTATATAAATTATGAAGACGCCTTGAAACGATGCCAGCTTGAACGATTACAAATATAAGTTTGTATTGTATTTGCTGAATCTCTAATTAATAACCCACAATGCACAGGCTGGATTCCTGAACGAAAAATTGTTGGCATGTCATTACAAAATAAACACAAGTATAGTCAATATAAATGCAGAACCTCTCGTTTTAAACAAAGTGCAATACCATATTTTATTGATCTTCTTAATAATCGCTGATTGTTTTAAGTTTTTCTTTAAAAACCCAATTTTTGTTATTGTATATTTGAACAGTTTTATTTTTAACCATACCAATATTCTATCTGCCATGTACTCTATGTTTTTCGAAATAAAATCTTGAATTGAATTGAAAGAAGAAAAAAAACGATCGCAGCATAATTTCTTTGTATACTGTGTTTTCAAGACGTTTTGTAAAAAGCCTCTGAGCAACTAATGCTTCAACAAACTCAGCTTTTAGTTGGTTCCTCTTTTCTCGTGCTATTTTGTCGTTTCTTAGGATACTTTGTGTAGTAGGCCTATACTTATCATTGTACTATGTTTTGCATGAGAAATAAAATCATTTGAAATCATATGTACATGCCCAAGAGGACGGGGGCGGCGCGCGCCAAATTCCATGCAATTGTTCTAAGATGGTAAGCCCCCCCCCCCCACTCCGAAAGAAAATTAGAAGAAAAAAACGAGGTTGTCTCTTTAAAGGAGTCATTTTTGTAAAGTCATATAGGGGCTCTCTGACCCCCCCCCCCCTCCCCCACCCCCGTAATACGGACGTAACACCCACCGCCCATGAAGAGGATGGTCATATTTGTACATTTCATTAGTTGTTACGTAATGTACGTGTTAAATGGCAACCGTCTTTCATACGTATGAAGAGTTGTTATGTCTATCGTGACATCATCAGTTAAGTCGGACTCTACTGTAGTTGTTCATTATAATAATTTTGGCGATGAAACTGTCATGTTGTCGAATGCAATATGCCAAATTTTCTTTGAATTTACAACGTTGGTGGATAAATGAAATAAAATACATAGAACTTTGAGAACTAATGGGAATGAGTTGGATATATAAATTTTGTAATCAAAATATTGTTAAGAATGAATGGATTATGCTATAATTATGAATAGCTGAATTGAATTGAGATGGGTTTTTTAAATGACAAAACATGCAGCTCGATAGCTGATATTCCTTTTTAACTGATAGTACAATAATAACAAAATAACATAATATATAAATTCAGAAGAAAAAGCACAAAATACTGTAAACTCGTGAATTTCAGCATAACGCAACCAACAAAAGAAAATCGCGGTAAATAACAAATATATATTGCATGAGAGTCATGAGATCAAAGCATATATGAACAGGCTGTTTAAAGTTCAAGTGTATTTCAAAGTTATATTCTGTATCCTGAATACTAATTGATTATCAATTATTTTAACTATATTTAGTTGCCTATTAGCTGAAAACTCATAATCTAAAAAGGCCGTGGAATGAAGGTTATCAATTATGTTAACAATATAATTATAGGTCAATTAATTAAAAACAGATAATAAAAAAAGGGCCGTAAAATATAGGTTATCAAATATCAACAAGTTAAATGACAATTTGCTGAAAACAGATAATCAAAAAGGGCCGTGATCTTAGAGAGTATAATTCAAGTATGGCAGTTCTGCTTTTAAAAACGTGAACTCTATAGTAACAGGGATATTGCATATTGTTTCATCGTACCTATGAGAAGTAAAAAAAAAAAAAAAAAAAATGTTTTAATTATGCATAAAATGCAAATGCAAATTCGTTTGTAAATTCATTGAGAAAAAATATTAATATGTCGTGGACGAGTTGAAGTGGTTTATAGACGAACAAAGGGTATGCGAAGACTTACACAATTCAAACTAACTTTAAATATCCTTCTTTGCAAATGATGTAATGAGTATATTTGTAAAGCGCTTACAGACATTTGTATCAAGCGCTATATAAAAATTAAATATTATTATTATTAAACATATGGGATGGAAAACTTGTAAACGACTGAAAATTGGTATTTCATTAGAATTATGAAACAAACACACGGAATGACAAAAACGGGAATACAGTTTATAAACTATAATGAAGCGTGATAAGAGAAATAGGATTTTTTAAATAAAAACATCAAAAGCGATCCCTGGCGCCGGAAAGAAAAGATGGTAGTGCGATTAAAAGTGAAATATCGAGGGGAAAATCTCGATCGTACATGTACATTTATGCATGGAGCCTCATCCAAATGTCAGCGTCGATGAGTTCATGAGTAATTGTGGGGGGGGGGGGTCACCTCTTCTTTATCTCTCTCGGTTAATAATTACAGAAATTAATTTCTAACCGTGACCACTGTGCCTGGCCCGTTAATTAGGCCAACGAACTTTTGATAAATGCAGTTGCATGCAGTAATGGTGATACGTCACGTTGCTTGATATTAAAGGAACTTTGTCTATACTTAGAGCGATATTGTAATGTATATGTTTGACATATTACGCATGTACGATTGAAATTTTATGCACTGACAAAGTTCGTTGACTAGATATCATGACCCATATTCTACTAAGTTTTGGGTTTATGATTTTGTCCAGAATCGGGTGAAACAAAGGGATTTAGCCTGAGGTTTTCGAATTTTCCTTTTTTTAAATGTGATGTTAGACCCATGATCCGGTTTAATTAATAATAAAAATATGAACCAACTTCGGAAACAGTGAGAGTTTTGAGATTGGTTATGATTAAATATTACCTTTTCTCATCTCATTTTGGTGAACTTTCTTCGAATCTTTTCATGGTAAATTTGAATGAGTGACATTCTTTCATTCGTTTCAAATGCACTACATTTTGTATTCGTTGCTTAACCCGAAAGCACATTAGAATAATCCCCATCCCCCAAATAAAAAAAATATCGATATGTTCAAATAATATCAGATTTTAGTCTACACGAGTGATAATCTATGCCATATTTCGATATACATTTGTAAGTCTATTTCTACCAATTTAACTCGAGGTTTTACATTTGTTTTTTGTTGTTGATTAATTTGTACCTTTTGCCGTTAATAGTCGAATGACATCTAAACCTTATGTCAATCAACAATGACCAAACAAATATAATTGAATTGAGCATACATGTATACAAAATACTTTAATTCAAATTAACATAACAGAAATTAAAAGCGATATTGTTCATTGTGATCCGTCATTTTCTCCCTTCGCGTCACGCTTCTGTCCGTGTCTGTCAATCTGCTCTCCTCTTCTCTCTCTCTCTCTCTCTCTCTCTCTTTCCCTCTCTCACAGAAGAAACCAACACAACCTTGGTTCACCCTAAAAAATGTTGCTCATTTGTGCTTTTTTTTGTTGCCAAGTTAAAGATACAAGAATAAAATATACAAAATGTCTTATATTAAAGATGTTTTCACTAGAAAGTTCATGTACATCTCCTCTTTCTACTACAGTTCTACAAGTAGAACAACAATCTGGACACAACACCATCCTCACAAACGGACCTGTGGCAATATGGTAGCCTTTGTAAAATAAAGTTTTATTCACAGAAAACATCAAATTGTCAAACAGATTGTATCACCAAAAGCAAAAAAAAAAGAAAAAAAGAAAAAATTCAGCCAAATAAAATGAAAACTGAAATAATAATTCATTCAAAATAGGGTCATTGCGGAAAAATGAATACAACTTGGCACACATGCATCAGACTTAATCAGCCTCTTAGCATCTATAAACAGTCTGATTGTAATGCTAATTTGTTTTAGAACTCAAAGCAGCGACGTTCTTAAATTGAATATGATATCATCTGCTGAGAGACAGAAGATCATTATCTCTGGAAGAAAAAAAATATGAGGAACTTTTAAGAAATTAAAAGCCATATTGTTCATTTTGATCTGTCATTTTATCCCTTTTTGTCACACACTCTCTCTGTCTGTCGTCCTGCCCCCTCTCCTCTTGTCTCTCTCTCTCTCTCTCTCTCTCTCTTTCTCTCTCAGAAGAAACATACTTGTGAATATACAACCTTGGTTGACCCCACAAACCTTTTGATACCTCATTTTGTGCGATTTTTTTTTTTTTTTGGGGGGGGGGCCAAGTTAAAGATGCAAGAATGTCTCCTCACAGTATAACAAAGTCTACAAAATGTCTTATATATTAAAGATTTGATAATTGTAACTACGTTTTCACTAGAAAGGTATTTCATGTATTTCCCCTTGCTACTTTTACAAGTAAAACAACCTGGACTCCTCCGCGTACAACACCATCCTCACAAACACTTTAAAACACAGGTTAATGTTAACATATAAAACGGACCTGTGACAATATATGTAGCTTTGGTAAAATAAAGTTTTATTCACACAAAACACCAGATTGTCAAACAGATTGTATCACCAAAAGCAAAAGAACCCCCAAAACAAGAAAAAATTCAGCCAAATAAAATGAAAACAAAAATAAAAATTCATTCAAAATAGGGTCATTGCTGAAAAATGAATACATAGCAAGTTGGCACACATGCATCAGATTTATTCAGCCTCTAATAGTATCTATAAAGAGTCTGATTGTAATGCTAATTTGTGTTAGAGCTCAAAGCAGCGATGTTCTTAAATTGAATATGATATCATATGCTGAGAGACAGAAGATCGTTATCTCTGGAAGAAAAAAAAATATGAGGAACTTTTAACCCTCATCGTTACACATGATTTGTATTCATATTGTTTGCAAGCAATTCTTTTTTTTTCTCAAAAAGTTACTAATTTTGCAGATATGAATGCATGCAGCCCAGAATTCACCTTCTTCATCAATCTTGACATTAAATGTCTTCACAATAGTTTTTTTTTTAAATTAACCATATTTAAACTGATTAACATATATGCAATACATTTAGTGAAATATAAAGATTTCTTTTGAAGGAAATTTCAAATTCATGGTTAAGAAAACAAGCAATGACATTCATTAACTACACTCATGAAAAAGAAAGAAAATTAATGAGCACATGATTTCTACTATTGCAATCTTGTGTTTTTCATGATTTCAATTACATTCAATGATATCAACATCGATTTCAGATTTAAGCTTTTGAATGCAAGATTGCATCACAGAGACACATACAGCTGTTAGCTTCATGTAATGATCGGAATAGAATTATGGGCAATTCTTGCTTGAAATAAATAAACGACACATGAAAAAGGAGAATTCATTATGCCATACATGATGTATTCTATGTAATGCTACGGTCACAAAAGTTCGTACAATAATTCTACAATAATTTTGTATGAATCTCCGTTTTTCCATTGTCATCCCAAATTTCCATTGTCTGAAAATCGTTCGTAGCAAGATGGCATTTGTAACCAAGGCTACATTATTTTTCTCTTTTTTTGCATTTCTTTTAACGATTTTTTAAATTTCTATTTCATTATTTTTGTTTATTCATCCCCGGGTTGGTAAAGTTTGTTTTGAAATTTTACAGAGTTTTCCAAAACATGGACAACAAAAAAAAGAACGCGGCACCACACATTATTTAAAGCAGGATTTCAGAGTCAATATTTGATGATCATGCATACACATAATATCCAGCTGCAAAATATATACTTTAATATCAACTGTCAAGAGGATATACATCTAAATCTGTATTGAAAGCCCCTATCAGGGATTTGCAAGCTCTCAAAAACTTATCTCAAACTTTACCTGTAGAACTGGCAAGATGGGTTTATGAAAGTATTTGCAAAATTTCAGATCAAAAGATTGTGGTTTTCTCTCTATGATTGAAAATTATTTCCTCCTGTTGCCTCTCAAAAGGACATGGCTCAGATACAAGCAAAATCTTAGCAACAGCAATATGCTAGATTGATGTATTTTGGCCATCGCCTTTTATCACCCGAGCTACGAATGAAATCGGCAGCATGTACTCGGGGGGTGTAGGAAGTATCATATACGTGAGAGAGGCTGGATGGATGGATTGTGACATGATTGATTGCAGCATCTATATAAGTCGGCTATTCAAACTTGACACCCTGAGCCAGTGGCAGGTCCTTGCTGTAGTTCACAGTGCTGTGGAGGAAAAAAGGATAGAGAAAAGTCAGAGCATGAGCTCTCCCTCTAAAAGCATAGCAAAACTAATATGCTGGATTCTTGCATTTCGCTCACTGTGTTATATCACCAAAGCTAAAAATGGAGTGTGTGTGTGAGAGATAGAGTTAGAGAAAGAGAGACAGAGACAGAGACAGAGATAAAGAGAGGGAGATAGAGAGAGAAAAAAGGGTTGGAGAGAGAGACAGAGAGACAGAGAGAGACAGACGGACAGAGAGACAGACATAGACAGAGAGAGAGGAGAATAAAGGGAGAGAGACTCTCACACACATAAACAAAAATACAGAAAGAGGTACAAACAGACAGACAGATATAGACACTAGACAGACAGATATAGAGACACACTGAACACACAGTGAAACAAAGAGAAATGAAGAGAGGGGAAGACAGAGACAGTCAGAGGAGAGAGAGAGAGAGAGAGAGAGAGAAACAAGATACAAGCAACAATAAAGACATATAAAGCAGATACTGACACAGAAGCACTGAGTCAGGAAGAGAGAAAGAAAGAAAGACACAGTTGGACAGAGATACATACATAACGAAAGACACCATTAAACATGCAGGTACACAGAGAAAAAGCAGACTGACAGAAAGACTAAGAGAGAGAGGAAGACTAAGAGGGAGAAAGAGGTAGAGAGAGAGAGAGAGAGAGAGAGAGAGATGGGGGGGGGGTAGACATAATAGGTACAGTTGAAGAGAGGAGATACAGAAAAGGCAAGGAGAAGCTACAGAAAGAATAGTAATGAATAAATAATCCAAAATTGGATACTGCCCCAGATCAGTAAATGGATATTTTCAGATATCAGGTTTATTTCTCTTTTTATGACCTGCACGACGCAGTGCTACTAAATATGGATTATGACATGTTGGTGCTGTTATCATTGATCTTGCTTTAATATAAACCACTACAAACTTTAGAGCTCCAACAAGGTTCATGTAAGTTACATAATATATCAAATAAGCTTGATTGTAAACCCCAAAATTGTGTTTACAGTAGTTTTAGATACCTATTTAAAACGAGGTCACCTAGTGCATTTCTCTGCTTGAATATCCTAATGATCCCATGCAGCTATTTATATTGCAGCTAATGAAAATGTCCTTACCTCTGTTCATAATGAGGCAATTACTTATTTGGTTGAATGACATCAATTAAAAAATAAAACAGCTTTATGGCAATACCATTCCAATTTATGTTCATCTAAATTTAGATTTCCCAAACATCCTTTTTTACTTCAATTTTCATCTTGCACACTATGTTGAATCCAGTTTCTTCCACATGAATATACATGTATCTCTGCTATCAGAAACTTTTTACCTTTCCAATCAAAAGTTATGTTTAGGAACATTAATAGATTTACAAATCTACACAACATTATTTCTGTTGATTTAGGGTATGCATGTTCCCTCCCTTTGAAGGCCCCCCCCCCCCCTTATCTCCGGTGCGTAAAGTCAATACGGGCCAGATTTTTGTGTATTACGGCATTACTTTGTTGCATGAAAAGGTACCCCTTTACCAGAGATTTGGGGAACACGAGCTGAGCTTTTTTCTTTCTAATTCTTAACTTATATGCATCAATCTTTTATTTCAATTGCAAGTCAAGTCCATCATTTTCATGATTAAACATGTACCTGTGATTTCTGCAATCAGAGAGCACATGCAAATATGGTGGAAGGGATACTTGCCCATACATGTACTTGAAATCAAATACAAACATTACATGCATATAAAAGTAAAGATCCTACATGTATATCAGAAGAGATGGCAGGATTTGTATGAAAAGAGATTTGGCAGGGTTACAAAAACCAAGAAAAGATACTTGACCCGATAGGTAACCACCAAGCCTCTATCTAGAGTGTAAATAAGGAGGGGAGGGGAATAAAGTTTGTGGTATGACGAATCAGTTGGACTTTGACCAACACAAGAGTTAACAAGTGGGACTCTATTGATATTAGATTGGGACTGTGTACACATACAAGAACCCATCCCTTGGGTCATCTATCCATAATTAAAGAGGAGGTTGAGTTCCGGTATAGGTGCAAGATAGTTTGTGAACTTTTTTTGTTGTTGTTATAAATCCTATATGTGGAAGAAAAGCATATTATCAATGTCACATGACTTAAAGGGTTGCCCTAGCTTGGAATACCCACATATTCAAAATAAGACTTGAAAAATGTTTAACTGTGGACCAAATTTTGATGCCATGTATGTGTGGTCCCATATACCAACATCTGTGTGCTGTGCTTTTCACTTATTGATTTGCACCAAGCATGAATCAATCTATCATCCTTTTTTATGATCTCAAGACCTCTCAATACAAACTGATTCCTATACATGTATGTTCTACATAATCAACTTTTCCCAATAACTTAAAGAGATTGGGTATCTAATTTGCCTCAGATTCTAAACAAAATCCTGGATTTAGCTCATGCTGCAATCATAATTATAAACCTTTAGGTCAGTCAGGAACCCCATGACTTTTACAAGCTGATCGCTTGTCTGATTATCTATATATATTTTTAAAATCTTCAATATTACACCATATTACAGACACTGATAACACGTAGGGCCATGTATCTCATATTTGTAAAACTGGAAACATTGTTAAACGATGCCTTTAAAGACATTATCTTTCACAATGCAATCACACATGACCATGCAGAACTCCATGTTACCTTTTAAGAGCATAGAAGAAAAGTTTGTTGAACTTACCAAGTGGACCTCCTCATGTACTGCTTCCATGCGTCACTGCCAGACTCCCTACCTCCACCTGTGTGCTTCTCACCACCTGCATTGGGTAACACCATATATAGACATGTTGGTTTGTTTTCTACTAATAGACAAGTTTACTATCAAACATATTCAAATTTATGGATGTTTCTTTTCTTTCCTGGGGAAAAGGTATTCCATAAACTTATAATTATAAATGAATGAACTACAATAACTTTAATTCCAGTCTGCATTCGTTACTTGTTGCTATGTTGGGCAAGAATCAGGCAAGAACAACCTTTGTTTAAAAAGTATGCATAAGATTTGAATGTGTTAGTAAACTGGTCTACTCAGATCAATCAATTCAAACCTAACCCTGGGACAAAAATCATGATCAACAGAAAATATTTGATTATGAACAAAAGCCCAAACCCAGCGGCAGGTTTAAACTTTAATAACTTTAACTTTAATAACTTTAACTTTTACTTTAACTTTAATAACTTTAATAACTTTAATAACATTAACTTTAACTTTAACTTTAACTTTAATAACTTTAATAACTTTAACTTTAATAATTGGATTTTTGTTGTTAGGTTCAGGTTAACAGATCTAGTTGCTTTGTTACTTTTGATGTTGTCTTTATCAAATAGAAAAAGAGATATTTGTAGTCATTTAAGCTGATTTGAACATACTAATATTGGCTTCTTTCCTTTATGTGTTAAAATGTTTTAACCAAACTTATAAACACTGCTTATAAAGAGAAAATGATATTAAATCAATCATGATTGTATTATTTTTTTCTTTTTCACTTTCTAAATGTATTTTTTTCCATGACCTCACAGAACACATCACTCATGACGAAAGAATTAAGTAAATGTCTTTCGCTCACAGCTACCATTTGACCTTACTAAAGTCATTAATCATCAATAATTATCCGATATAGAAACCTAAAATAATCAATAAATAACTGCTACTGTAAACTCTCATTAGTGGTAACATCTATTTAAGAAAAGTTAGATGTCCATTATAGTTTTCTGGGTTGATAACTTATAACACTGCTTAAAAGGAGCAAATGATATTAGTTCAATCTTATTTGATTTAATTCACATGTAGGTAAGAAACAAAATCATCATGTGAGAGTTTCACTTTAGTTTTCATCATTGTATTATTTCCTTCTTTTTCACTTTCTACATGTGTAATTCTCTATGACCTCACAGAACAAATCACTCATGACGAAAGACATAAGCTACAGCCATTCATCTAGAGCTACCATTTGGCCTTACTAAAAGTCTTAAATCATGAATAATTATCCCAGACAGAAACCTACAACAATCAATAAATTAATGCTACTGTAAACTCTCATTAGTGGTAACATCTATTTATGAAAAGCTAGTCCCTAATAGTTTTCTGGGTTGATAACTTCTATCCTACTTTCTAGTTTGGGGTCAGATGATAAATTTGCGGTCAACTATTAGCTCTCACAACTCCTCCCTTTTAGTCTACAATATGAGATTTTCCACCTACACATCTACATGGTATGTAGATGTAAAGATTCCATGAAGTCATTGAAATGGTCAAGGCTACGTGCCATTTCTACACCATCTTTAAACAAATTAGTTTTGGGTCAGATGATAAATTTGCAGTCAATTATTAGCTCTGACAACTCCACCCTTCTAGTTCACAATATGCGATTTTCCACCTATACATCCACATGTATGCAAACACATGGCATGTAAATGTAAAAATTCTATGGCGTCATTGAAATGCTCAAGGCGGCCCACAAAGTTACGGAGCTCTACGTGCCATTTTCTTCACCATCTCACACAAATTAGTTTTGGGTCAGATGATAAATTTGTGGTCAATTATAATAGATTAGATTAGATTTTCCACCTACACATCTACATGTTTAAATACACATGGTATGTAGATGTAAAGATTCCATGGAGTCACTTAAAGTGGTCCACTGAGTTATTGAGCTCATTTTCTTCACCATCTTATAAAAATTACCATTATTCTGATATTGATTTCCAACACTAAACAAAAATCATGCAAAAATAACATTGCTTATTGATTCTCATTTAGAGAATAACTAATACAAAATTAAAAAGAGGGGTTGACATTTAGGGCTTCATAAATTGTTATCCTACATGTAAGTATTAAAAGCTGGGTTAAACTTGATATTTTGTGGTTTGTTCTGTTTTTGTTTTGAGAAAACAGTGTACACACTGTATATTTCTCCCTCCTCTTTTTTTTCATTTCAAAAGTACAAATAAATCAACATCAAATGATGTACAGTGATTGAAAGATAATTCATTATCTTTTCATGACATACCGAAAGCTCCGCCTATTTCAGCTCCACTGGTTGGAATGTTGACATTCACAATACCGCAATCTGAGCCTTTTGGTCTGTGGGGGAAAAACCAGACAAAAGTAATTATTATTTTTCCTTTACATAAAAATGATAGATAATTGATTTCAAAGACATGCAAAAGATTATTTATTACATCGACTAAATGAGTTCAATATGTAATTTATATTTATTTGTTGAATACTTTTTGTTCTGTTTGAAATGACATCACAAATCATAGGTCAACAAGAGCCAATGCCCATTACAACATAAAGTAAACATGTATCATACATGTATCTTTAATTACTAACTGCCTGACCATACAGTATTTGACCCTTGTACATGAACTCTGTACCTCTTGATATATACACAAACATCCCATTAAAGGTTGGAAAACATCTTACAGTGTATGTTGAAGCTAGGAGGCCATTAGAGTATAATTTGGAAAATTTAGTGTCATTTTTTGCTGGCTATTAATCTTGCAGTAATTACTTAGAGGACAAACTCTTGAGAGCCTCTTATTTATCATACGTGTAATTGCTACATGGTGTCCAGTTCTGCAAATATGTGAAACTAAACCCCAGCATAACCCTTTGATATAGAGTACCGAAGCTGTGACATCATAAAAATCTATTTTTAGAATTTCTAAATTTGTTCTTCATTTTCCGAAAGAACATCAAAAATAATGTCCAAGTGTCGAAAACCAATTGAATATGTTAAGTATTGGCTGAGATATGACCATCTGAATAAATATACTCCCCATAGGAACTCAGTGTTATATGCTCTGGCTCATAATGGTTAGGAGCCAGAGCATATAACACTGAGTTCCCATAGGACATATATTCATTCAGATGGTCATATCTCATCCAATACTTAACATATTCAATTGGTTTTCGACATTTGGACATTATTTTTGGTGTTCTTTTGGAATATGAAGAAAAAAATTGAGAAATTCTAAAGATAGATTTTTGATGACATCACACTTCACCACTCTATTGGGAGACTGTCATAACATACATGCATATCTTCAATAGAGGGCAGTCTTTACTATCCTGTAAGGTTGACATTGCTTCCCAGACTTGGTTACATTTAATTTTTGTAAACCTACCAGTTGTACAGTTGTAGCCTTATCCATATCACATGCTACAAATATTAACTCAAATATACAATTAGGGCTTCTTTTTTTTTCTTTTCTTTTTTTTCTTGTAATCCAACAATATTTTCATTCATTCAGGCAGCAGAATTTACAAGATGGATAATGATATAATGCAAGGGAGAGAAGTCATTGAAAGAGGGGATGGTATGAGAAGGGGTCACATTATCTTCTTTTCATTTCAAATGTCAAATTCTCCCTTTCTCTTTCTTTCTCACTCTTATTCTCTCTATTTCTATTTGTTTTTTTTTTTTTGCTTCACAATTTTTGTTGTTGTTGTTGTATGGGCATGGGGGGGGGGGGGGGGACATGCGCCACCTCCCCCCATGCCCCCAATCCATAGCTACGCCAATGAGGACTGTATATGTACTTACCCAAGCCAGTGGAAGATCCTTCCCAAGTCCTTTGTGAACAAGCTGCTGGAGAGACCTTGCTTGACCTCGTTGTTCCAAGACACGGCTTCCTCAAAGCTCTGAATATCAAAACACAAATTCACATTAATTAGTAAAAATCTATGGAAACTGAAAATTATTATTACCAGCATCATGATCATAATAATCAGAGATTTTAATGACTTTTTTTGTAGGGAAATAGGAACAGGGTTTTTAAATTTGTCTTTGAGATGACCATGACTGTTGTGAATGATCTCAGCACATCATCATCACCACCATCATCATCACTATCACCATCACCATCATCATCACAATCATCATCATCATCCTCACTATCACCACCACAATCACCATCACCATCATCACCATCACAATCATCATCATCATCCTCACCATCATCATCACCATCACCACCACCATCATCATCATCACCACCACCATCATCATCATCATCATCATCATCATCATCATCATCATCATCATCATCATCATCATCATCACCACCATCATCATCATCATCATCATCCTCACCATCATCATCACAATCATCATCATCATCCTCACTATCACCATCACCATCACCATCATCATCATCATCACCATCACCACCATCATCATCATCATCATCATCCTCATCATCATCATCACAATCATCATCATCATCCTCACTATCACCACCACAATCACCATCACCATCATCACTATCACCATCACCACCATCATCACCATCACCACCATCATCATCATCATCATCATCATCATCCTCACCATCATCATCACAATCATCATCATCATCCTCACTATCACCACCACAATCACCATCACCATCATCACTATCACCATCACCACCATCATCACCATCACCACCATCATCATCATCATCATCATCCTCACCATCATCATCACAATCATCATCATCATCCTCACTATCACCACCACAATCACACTATCATCACCATCACAATCATCATCATCATCCTCACCATCACCATCACCACCACCACCACCACCATCATCATCATCACCACCATCATCATCATCATCATCCTCACCATCATCATCAGAATCATCATCATCATCCTCACCACCACCACCACCATCATCATTGTCATCGCGATCATCATTGTCATCATCATCATCATCATCATCATCACCATCGTCATCAATAATATCATTATCATCATTATTATAAATGAATTCCTATTTAGAAGGATGATGAGAGGTGGAATATTACCTTGGTCTTTAGGATAAACAGAACCGGTGCAAACGATTCTCTGAGGATGATTTCTGCATCATGGGCTAGTCCAGTCACAATCGTTGGTTCCACATAGTATCCTGGTCTATCTATCGTCTGAAAGTAGAATATTGAGCAATTCCAGGGAAATGAAAAAAACTTTAAAATCTTTCGTAGACATAAGTTTAATTAATTGTTGTTAAGTCATAAACTTTTGTGGTTAAGTAATCTCATATCTCTGATAAGAACTTCAAATGTTGGGGGATAATTATTGATTTTATATAATTCTGTCCCAATCTTATAAACTGATGCACTGGTACAACAAGGTCACTTGACTTTGTTAAGCAGTATTCTACAAGGTCACCTTCTCATTGTGAATTACATTCCTTCTTGTTTACAAAGTTTGAGAGTGAAATCACCCGATCAGTTATTTCATGTAGATTTCCCATCTCCTGTAACTTACAAGCTTTCCATTGTTTTTGTCAACTGTTTAAATGCGAGTTCATATTTTCTTGAGTACATTTCACTTTGGTATTTCCTGTGTAATATACAACCTTTTTTTAATTAAAGAATCAAATATACCTGCAGTTTGTTATGTGACCTAGTTCCCTCTTTAAATATTTATACTGAAATGATGATATACTAGTGAAGTACAATTTGCTTATTCTGAAAGTTAGGAGACAAAATACTATCAAATTGATGCCAGTAGCGCAAAGAATTGATGGGTTTTCTAATAATTCCTTTAAAAATGTCAACATTTATGAAACCATGATTGAAATAAAAATTGGGCAATTTTTTTTTTAAAGCAAAAAAAGAGAGCCAAAACGAAGAGCCATTAAAAAACTAAAAAGATAAAGAATAAGAAGTAATAAATAGGGACTGTACACATACTAAATGCCAAATAGACTTGCCAGTCATCTCAACCTACAAGTACATTTCTGAATCGATCATCACAAGTTTCTCAGTAATTTCAAGTGAAGTAAAGGCCCCAAAATTAAATTTCCTTTTTCTAATGAAGTCATTTCTTATTCTGAAATTGTCTCCTTCATATTTTCAACATGTATGTGTTTTTATTAATCATTTATCTGACCATCCTACCTTTCCTCCAACCTCCACCTTTCCACCCTGTGATACGGCAGCTGCTACGGCACTCTTGAAGACTTCCACACCCTGTTCAGAATGCATGGGACCGTACAGTGTGTTGTCTGTGTGAATGCAACATTAAGATTAAAAAAGTGTGTAAACACATTTAAAGCTCTCTCGAAGACTTCCACACCCTGTTCAGAATGCATGGGACCATACAGTGTGTTGTCTGTGTGAATGCAACATTGAGATTAAAACAGTGTGTAAACACATCTAAAACTCTCTTGAAGACTTCCACACCCTGTTCAGAATGCATGGGACCATACAGTGTGTTGTCTGTGTGAATGCAACATTGAGATTAAAACAGTGTGTACACACATCTAGAACTCTCTTGCAGGCTTCCACATTTTGCATCAAATCATATAGTGGTTTGTCTGTGTAATTGCAACATTGAGATTTTTAACAATTATGTTAATGCATAGAAATTATAAAAGTGTGTTACACAGACTTCAATACCCTGTTCTGAAAGCATGGGCCCATATAGTGTGTTCTCTTTGTGAATGTGACACTGAAATTAAAAGGTGTATTAACACACACTTCAACACCCTGTTCTGAATGCATAGGCCATACAGTCTGTTGTCCGTGTGAATGCAATATTGAAATTATAAAAGTGTATTAACACATCTACGGTGCTTTTAGAAACTTATCACACCTTGTACTGAGTGCAAAGGGCACTACACTGTGTTGAGAATCATATACCCGGTAAAGAATACAGATACAGTTTGAATGACACCAAACAGTGATGTACATGTACATGAATGTTCTCACTTAATATAAAAGCATGCTTTTAAGAATGAATTTTACCAAAACTCCCAGTATTTGAGATATCTGCTTGATTCTAACTCATTTATAATGGTACTGAGTCCTTATTTGAAAGATTGCATCTTCTAAATCAATAGAATCTTACCGTCCAGCGGGTCTCCTATCCTTATTGTACCGTAGGCTTTCTTCAGTCTGTTGACAACTTCATCATGGACACTTTCATGGAGTATCTAATTAGAGACAAAGAGTTCATTTTCATCAAAACAGACATTTGGTGAGAGATCATAAATAATATGCATAGAGTATTATAGGATGTCTTGATTGATAACAATTTGGTGCAAACTTGTGTCAACTTTAAAAAGCTTGAACAAGAATGCATGTACAGTCTTCTCAAATGTCAATACATACCAGCAATTGTGGAAAATGAGGTATAGAATTTATTGTACAAGAACACTCTTGAAGAATATGCTTTGGCATAACTTGTCCTTGAGATGGCAACTAGAGGTTCTCCTGGTGAATTTTGTCTAGCTCATATGCTTACTTCTATACTCTGGTCACAAAAAAGGAAGCACTGTGTACATTATGGATGTCTTAAAGGTAATACAAAGTTTTGGTATGAGGTCATAAATTTTGTTCAAATGAACATATTGGAAGCATATGCGATCCTACAATACTCAGTGATCGTTGTCGCGGTTGAAATCGAGTCTAAAGTTATGAAATTGTAAATAATACACTCTTTATGTCGTATAGCTCTCTTTCAAGGTCAATATATTAATTAAGCTATAAAACAATGTTTGTTGACCAAAATCGACCGATTAGCTAATCCCGTTTGGAAATTATATATTACAACTACATATTCTGAGATTTTCATGGTCGCAGCTACCATTGTACGGCCGCGTAGGCGCTATTTGAAATTTATCAAAATTTACCGGGAGCACCGGTAATTTTTTATATTCCATTTTTCTTGAAAGCAGAAGTGTTTTAGGGTCTAAATTTTTTAGAGCTTACAATACATCCACAGGGGCATCCAAATATATCAAACTTGTAAAGAATCACTATCAACCGAATTTTCATAATTTCCCAAAACTTTGTATTACCTTTAATGTGGTTGAGTTCTTACACATACTACATGGATTTGGAATAGAGAAAGTTTGAAGAATAAAATCCAATTTACATGGAGGAAAAGAGACAAGATTTTAAATTGTGATCAATCAGACATAAATTGGCAACTCTATGATTCCCTTTGCAAGCAATTTGTCCACTTGTTCTGTAAGAAAGTACTTGATTTGTAAAGCAAATTTATCAGTTTTGCATTGGAAAAAAAAGGGGTATAAAAGAATTGTATTGAAATGACTTTGTAGCTTTTGTTGATTTGTACTCATGCTCTGATGTGTCTGGATTAACATGCCAGAAGGGAGGATAAAATGGTGCACTGTGTATTGGCACGAGGCAGATACAGGTAGACTAGGGCCTGTAGAGATGTGATGTAGCTGTAGGGTAGTGGCAAGACTGCCAAAAGATAATAATAATAATACATAAGATTTGTAAGGCGCCAAATCTATTAGACTGCCTCTTCTGTCATGTTTGATATTTTGCCTGGGGAGTGTTTCACAAAGATCCTAAGTAGAACTTAACCTGAGTTGGACTTAAAAAGTATGGACAGCCATTGGAGCCTTAAAATGAAATATATTCAAAAGCAAAAATTGGAGTATTTTAGACTTTTCATCAATTCCACATCAAGAACATGAAATCTCCCATGATAATAGAAAATATGAATGATTTGAATCAACATTTTATGCCTTCTAAAAAAAAAATTACAAAATGTTTTCAAGGATGCTAATGGCTTCCCATAAATTTTAAGTCCAACTTAGAGATAAGTTCAACTTAGGATCTTTGTGAAACACCCCCCTGGACTTTAATAAATAAAGCAGAATTTGAACTGAATACACTTGAGCCTACGTCCTTATTTTCTGGATTCACTACACTACTATAAAAACAAACAGTTAGACTCCTTACCAGTCTCCTTGTCGTTGTACACCTCTGTCCGGTCGTACCCACACTGGCGAAGAGAACAGCAGGAACCACCATATCCAGATCAGCATCATTCAACACTGTGTGATAATAAGGAGGATAGACATTAAGAATTACTGGTTGATCAAATGTGCATGTTAAGGAGAATGTCACCACCTAGTTAATAGACTTTAACTTACGATACATTATAATGATTCATGTTTTATTTATTTTCTTTTTTCTTTTTTTTTCAATGTTACTCATGCTTACGTTTTCTTTTGTTTTAATTATTATTATTTATTTTTTTTAATCTTTGTTTGTTTGTTTGTTTTTTGTTACTGGTTTTTTATTGTACTATAATTAGTATATTTGTATTCAGCTCACAGACTTTGAGAAGAACAGCCAGTTAGCCTCTTCAATAACCTGTGATCAAAAGTAATACACAATAAAGGAAACTATTCAGGTAAAAATCCCCCCCCCCCCCCAATTCATTGAAATCTATTTTTTTTTAAAATAAATTAATGATTGGTGCAGACATGCATACATATATCTATGAATTTTTAAAGGAGATTATGTATAAAATGACCCTCCCCCCCCCCCCCCACTATTGTGTAAAATTAACTTTAGTGTACTATTCAATTCACATTCAGGTGAAATTATAAAGACAAGAAAAAAAAAACTTGCTAAATTAATGAATTTCAGTTCAAAGGCCATCATTACCACATATTCTTAATCCCACAGTAGAGAAACACTTAAATACTGTAGTTTACTACATGTATTTCATTAGTGGGATCACTTACCAATGATTGCATTGTTTCCCCCGAGTTCAAGAAGAGACTTTCCAAATCTATCTTGTACCGTGGTTCCAACTTTTTGTCCAACCTGTAAAGGGAGATAAGTACAGTGTGCAATGTTTCATCATATGATCAAATCACATATACATGTATGTCATGTCAGTGACTAACATATGGTAAGTAGCTGCCAGTTCATTTATACCATACTCGGGCTGAATTATTATTTTCTGAAGTTGGAAGTACAAACTTGAAGTCATTGTTGCTTGTATGATACAGTTAACACTAAATTATTTATACCCTTTAATACCAAGTTTGTAATAATAATAATAATAATAGCTAGTTCTTATATAGCGCTTTTCAGGACCGAAAGCCCTCTCAAAGCGCTTTACAGATAGTTATATTATTACCCCGGTCATAGGATTCAGGCTTACCCGCACACAATGTATGCACATTCTCCACTCCCTGGGGAGCATTCCAGCCAGCGTCTTTTTTACAAGCGCACACTTGCTAATCTAACCACATTAGTTTTCGCATCCTACCGGGTACCCAATTAACACCTGGGTGGAGAGTGGCAAATGTAGATCAATGTCTTGCCAAAGGACATTAGTGCCGCGGTGGGACTTGAACCGCGAACCTTGTGATCCACAGTCCGGTGACATATCCACTCGTCCACGACACCTCTACAATTAATTATTTAAGTATATATGAAAAATTGATTTGTCCCAAATTATGTTTCTTGAGAATGTAACATATTAAAGCTTACATCTATAAGTATTCAACAAGTTCACCTTTCATTCTTGAGGTACAAAAAAAGGGAAAAATTAAATTTACAAGGGGTGTGAATTAACTGTATCTGTCCTTTAAAAATTAAACAAAAACAAAAAAACAAAAAACAAATCTAAAAACAGAACAAAACAAATACTCAAGAGCAGCCTTTTTTTTGGGGGGGGGGGGGTGGACAAACTTCAAACTTTATTCTAGCCTAAATCTGCTTGACAGTTTTCATGACTAGCTACAGTAAAGGACCGATGTATGTGTAATTGTTCATCTACAACAAGAATAGTTCACAGACAACCAGAAGAGTAGAGTCTAATTATTAATTCTCCCATCTAATATACCGTCTCTTGAGTCAACTATAAGGAGCAACTACAATTGGTATTACAGTGCCTACATAAGTGTTCCATCTATAGCCCTGTATAGCTCAGACCCCTCTGCACAGGGTCTGTGCCTCCTGGGTATTCTCAACTTACCGGTGTGCTTCCAGTGAATGAAACGAGTGGAACTCTGGTATCCTTGGCCATTGCTTCACTGTGGAAGAAAGTTTAGAACGAAAGATGCATATCAGTATTTTTGGTGAAAAAGATGTTTGTCAACGAAAACCAACACTTGATAGCAATTTTTGTTTAATAAAAAAAAAGAAAATTAGAGAACAAAGTTAATGTTTTGAACAAAAAATATTGCCCAAATAAATTTCTGAGCTTTCAAAACTGCATATTTCTTTAGTACACGTATATGAGATCACAAATCCCAAAAGTAAACCATGAAGGATTACTGCCCAAATGTTTTGTAAACAAACTCTCTCAAAAATTTCTTTTTTTAAACTTGTGTCGTAGAACCATCATTTGAGCACTTTCAAGTTCAACTTTATACACATCTCTCTCCTGGATTATTGTCAGCATTACAAAAAGCAGGTTCATTGTCAACACAAAAGATTTTATCAGCATTACCATTTGTTTTATTTTCTAAACATATAATCTTATTTGAAGTAATGTTTAAATTGTACAAATATATATATATTGTTTCCATCTATCTTTCAAATGATTTTGTCCATATTTGTTATAATCATTATGCCTATGTTTTGTAAAATATTCATGTACCATGTGAATGAAGTTTTTTAATAAATACAAATACAAAAAACAAAAAAATTGTCACTCACCCGATATCTCCACCTCCACAGAGCAGTGTGACAAGACCTGGGGGCATATGGTTGGCATCCATCACCGACTGAACAATCCTGAAATTAAAATAACAAAATAAATATAGATCAAGAGATTAAACAACAAAATCAACATATCTTATGATTTGTGACTACAAAAATGCAAGGCTTGCCAATATTCATCCTCTGAATTGCTGATCTAAGGGGAAAATAACATAAATGTAGCTCATTTGGGGGAGGGGGATGTAAAGAGTGCAGATTAAACTACTTATATATATATATATATATATATATAAGTAAAAAAAGAATTGTTCCAAAATGCTATGCACTTCAACTCATTGTCAGAACCACACATACTTATTTATTTTTTTTATAATTCATTCACGTGCACAGTAGCTTTTTCAAGAGTTGGGGGCAAAGCACTCTGAGGCTCCACCTACTCATTTGTTGAGAGCAAAAAGGAAGCTACTGAAGAGGACTTTACATCCAATTAGTGCCCTTCTGGCTTTCAGCTGATGAAATATGTTCTCAGCATACCTGTACTTGCCTTAATACTGCTTATTTGGAATAATGTTTACGGTACTTACTTTGTTGTAGCAATGTTTACAAGTGGAGTAGTTGGGGCTCCTTTCCTGCAATGTGAAAATAAGAACGTGGATAATTAAAAGATGTCATACCGGGTATGTGTTTCCTATTAACACAAACCAAGGACATGATAGAATACATCACACAATACATAGTACAGTCCAACCTGCTTTAGTGACCACCTATATAGAAAGACCACCTGTCTACAAAGATCGCATTTTTTGTTTCCCTTGAAAATGATTTCTTATTGAAACATGTACTAACAGAACCTGTACATAAAGACCACCTGTCTGTAAAGACCACTTTTCTTGTCTCCCTTGGGTGGTCTTTATAGACAGGTTTCACTGTATCTAGATAATTAGAGTGGGGAACAATGTGTTTGGACTTGGGTCTACAGGTACGTTTTCTGCAAGAAAAGTAGCAATTAACACTATAGGAAGCTTACAATTATATCCCTCAAAGATATGTCACATGTCCAATTTATCACTGCATAACAGCACTTTAATTGCAAATCCCCCAAATCAAGCGTAAGTCTTGCGATTAATTGCATATTTGCAATTGATCGCAACTCAACTTTCTTGCAATACCACATAAGTAAGAGAGAGAGAGAGAGAGGGGAGAATAAAAGATAGATCTAGTTAACTTAATTTAATTATTAAAACTTTAATCCTAACAAAATCCTAGGAATTTAGGAAACTAGTGGGGCGTTGCAAAAAAGTTGAGTTGCAATCGATTGCAAATAACTTTGCAACTTGCAATCAATCGCAACTTTCTTGCAACACCCCATACGTCATAATTTAATTTTTGAAAGTTCACTTACGATCATTGTCTTGAGGAGGGTATAATTGCTCCTTGACTTACCACATGATGGAGTTTCCACAGACCAAGGCGAGGGATGCATTCCAACCAAACACAGCATTGGGGAAGTTGAAGGCTGTGATGATACCGACAGGCCCTATGGGGTTCCACTGCTCAAGCAGTGCATGGCCAGGCCCTGGTGAGATTTAAAACACGACAAAGGATGGATCAAAGAGAAATTGTTTAATCCATTAGTCAAAAGAATTTATAGTGCTGGGAAGAGCTGAAGATATTACAAATATAGGTGCATCTACATCATACAGGTATGTGTAAAGTTTATTGGCTTAAAGCGGGATTGGGGATTGGGGATCTTTGCCTCAGATTCTAAACAAAATCCTGGATTTAGCTCATGCTGCTATCATAATTATAAACCTCTAGGTCAGTCAGTCTGTCTGATTATCAAGATATTTATGACTGGAATTAAAAACACTACAGTCTAGTGGAGAAAATGAGTATGGTAAAACCAGTCACTCGAAGATTTTTACTTTTTTGAAGCACTTCATGAGTATTTTGAAGCACAATTTTTTTTTTGGCTTCAATATTACACCATATCACAGACACTGATAACGCATAGGGCCGTGCATCTCAGATTTTTAAAACTGGATCATTGTTGAACAATGCCTTTAACATCACAACAAATATGACATTTTCAAAGATCAATTCTAATGTTTCAAAAGCCTTAATAAAAAGACAACTTCTGACAAGTGGGAAAAAAAAAATTAAATGTGCAAAATTACTGTATGACAAAATTGTCTAATAGTTTGCAAATAATAAACATAAGTCTTGATATCTGAACTGCTCCAAAGGTAATGAGGGTAGATAATTATACTTACGCCCAAACGTACAACGTGTATGTGTAGTAATTAGTGTAGGGATAACCCCCTCCACCCCCCCCCCCCCTTTTCCCTAATGTCATACATGTAGATGAAAGATTCTAAAAAATAACTGGTCAGTACATTAGAAAATACTTATGAAAGGGTATTAGCATTTTCTAATGACTGTTAGCATTGCAAATTACAGGTCCTTACTTTCTGATGGGATGACTTGTCCTGCAAACGTCCTGGACAGCCCTGTAGAGAAGTCCAGCATGTCAATGAATTCCTGCACTTCACCCAATCCCTCTGATGCAATCTTTCCAACCTCCAAAGTTATCTAACGGATGAATAAAAAAAACATGACAGTAATGAGGAGGCGCAATGGATCAGTGGCAGAGCAGAGCAGTGGTCTCGTAATCGGGAGATCCCAGGTTTGAAACCAAGTCAATGCGCTTGTGCCCTTTGGTAAGGCATTAATCCTCATTACCAAGTCCTTTAGAGAAGACTTAAAGCTGTTGGTCCCCAGGTTGTTCACTTACAAGCATATGCATGCTATTTTAGAAGTCAGGTAAAGCAATCATTATCAAACGTCATTATAATGTATATGTAGGTCAGGGAAAAATTAATATTTATTTTTTGGGGGCTACTTTTCAAGCTTACCTGCATGAATATAACATTCTAAAAATTTGTATTGAATTGAACTCTATGAACATTTACAGGGGCTCTTTTCTGATTTTCGGGGGCTATTTTGGGCATTTCAGGGGCTAATTCGCCCTGAGCCCCCGTGTATTTTTTTCACTGATGTAGGTACTCCACAAATAGCCTTTACGTTTGTGTCCCCTTACGAAAAATACTTCTTCCATTATGTGTGCATAAATTATAATCATTTCATAACTTTCATAAGCATGAATCTTGTATTTGTTGCAGCAGATGATAAAATGTTGCGCTCATTTTGACCTATAAACTTCTCATACACAGACTGTAATTACCTTAGGGTGCGTTTAAGCTTAAATTTTGAAGGCAGAATGAGCGATTTGTAACGCTCATCATAAACGCTCATCGTAATCGCAGTTCCACAGTGTACTGTTTATGCTCACTTCTCTGGCTCCTCCAGGCAATTCTCCCTGGGTGGCCTTAATTGGTCTTGCAGCTGGATTCGCAACCTTGAAATGCGCATGCTATGTAGACCATGGTCCATGCGTAGACCCACTAGAGGTCAGTGCGTTGGCCCCATTTAAACGCGTTTACAAATTGTAAACGCATCTTTTTGTGAGTTTACGATCAGCGATCGTGATCGCCGTTTTTCGGTGACTCTACAAAAGTGAGAAAGGACGCAACCTTGTTTTAAACTAAACGCGTAACAGATGCCTGATTCTGGCCAGAAAAAGTTAAGCATAAACACGCCCTTAGTCGCACCACAAAATTAACTCTACACTGGCTCCAGAACGAGGGATTTTATATTATTCATGGTAATATAATTTTGTGCTCAGTCTGATTTAGGCCCGGTGTCAGTCTTGTCAATGTGACAAGGCCATTTCTTAGAGTTAGCTTAGTAGTTTGCTGTGCAGAGCGGTTCAATGCGAAGGCATACCGGTAAACACATTGAAATTAAAAAATGGATGAACTTTGAACAGACTGCTTGGTAGACATTTTTTCAATTCCAATTCAATTCCATTCATTTCTTTCTTCTCACTTTACATGAGATTACAAACAAAAGAATTCATATACAAAAGGTTAAAGCATGATTGAGGATACCAAAGGACAAAATTGACTAGTCTAGTACTCACAAAAATATATGCAATCTGTATAGGTAAGAATAAAGAGAGTTGACAGATTGATTTACTTGTTTACTACAGTAGAGAGGATTTCATCATTTCAAACTCTTTGTGTGCTTTGGCGACAAATGGAACAAACTTGGAAATATCACTGTCGACTTTTGTCACACAGACAGTGTACGTGTCTCACATACTCCAAGCAAAGCTGCATTCCAGGGTTTTGATTCATGGCATACATTTTGAGACTGATACTTCAAAAATGTTGTACTTACCAAATTTCCCAAGAATTGTTTCTTTTCCCTCAGTGCTTCCCCAATCTGCCTCACGACCTCACCTCGATTGGGAGCTGGTATCTACATGTGTGAATAAAAATGTTATTCATTGTTTGGAATTTTAAAAGCTATGAATATCATTCAGATAAGTTTACTCTCAGCGTTTAAGGCATTGCATGGTTTTGCACCTGTGAGCTAACCCTTCAAATACCCCCCCCCCCCCCCTCTTCTGGAATTATTTACTGGAGAGGCCTGTGGCAAAATATGTTTTTTGTATACCTCAGTAAATAGTTATTTTGACAGTATAACTTTAATTCTTGTTATCCTTCGTACATGGAATATCGATGTAGTAATGTGAGATTTGTTGCCTTCTGTGGCTGGACCTGGGTTTGGTGCAGGCTATTGTTCAGTGTGCACTCAGGCCTCTCTTGCAATGGCTTGAGTGCATGCTGGACAATGTTGTTGTTGTTGTTGTTGGTAAATGTTTAATGGCGTTCATTCAGTAATGAATATATACGCCATAAATATCTTCAATTTTATAAGAAAATCAGTTATAGTCTTCATAAGAAAACTGAGAATAAAGATTTGTAATGAAATAATTAATTAATAAGTAACGCAATTTATTCAGAGTCACTCGATGGTTTTCAACTTCGTGTTTCTGCTTTTTTTTTTTTTTTTTTTAAAGTTTAATCTGGTCAGCCCGGTTTCGATGCATGAAAACTAGCTTTGCCCCCGATTTGAAACAGGCTTCTCGGCTACTCGGCGTGCGTGCGCATTGATCTTTGACCTGGACAATGACCTGGGCTTGGGTTCGGTTGCAGGAGGTGACAGCTTTCACATTACTGGAGAAGACATTACTGGAGAGAAGTCACAAGTGGTGCACGTGCATACTTGGTACTTGGTTGTTGTTCCTCCAAAAAATTCCTAGTGGAATTTAAACTGGAGGTCGTGGTGGCAGAGGGTGGACTTATTTCGGAAGGAGTGCTACTTTAAACTTTGCTGAGTCAGTCAGGGATACTAATGTCGAATCGAGATCATTCCATGCTCTGGTTGTGCGTGGAAAAAAAGAGTTTTTGTATACATCTAATCTGGTTAATGGTATTTCGAACTGACTTGAGTGCCCGCGTCTGCTACGATCTGGTTTAGGTTTAATGTGTGTTTGGGCATCTATGTCCAGCTGGCCATGTAACATTTTGTGGAAACAGCTTAGACGGTGAGCTTCGCATCTGTCTTGGAGAGAGTTCCAATTAAGAGAATTTAGAAGGAGGGTGACGCTTGCTTCTCTCTGATATGTGCTTGTGACAAAACGGGCTGCCTGCCTCTGGACTCGTTCGATAGAAGAAATGTTCTTAGCTGTGTATGGGTCCCAAGCAGCAACTGCGTAATCTAAGTGTGGTCTAATGAGGGTGAGGTAGGTCGAGTTTCTCCTTTATGGAAGTTGAGCAGTGATGAAAGTTGCGTCTCAGAAAACTCAATACTCCTATAGCTTTTGTTGTTGCGAGGTGAGTTTGGCCATTCCATCGGAGGTCGTTCTGGATCACAACACCAAGGTACTTTGTCTGCTTACATTCTTCCAGGGTGACACCAAGGAGGTTGTATGAAGATTTACCCGGTTTCTTCTTCCTGGTGACACGCATTGATTCACACTTTTTTGGGTTGAATTTCATGCCCCATTTCTGAGACCACTCCATCATTGCATCTAGGTCTTGTTGCAGAATGTCCACGTCGTTTACTGATTTAATTGGACGGTACAGCATGCAATCGTCTGCAAAAAGCTTAGTGGTGCTTTTGACTTTGTCGTGAATGTCATTTATGAAGAGCAAGAACAAGTGGGGACCGAGCACAGTTCCTTGCGGGGTTCCACTTAGAACTGGCTTCCAGTCGGAATGTTTTCCGTTAACACATACGCGTTGTAGTCGTTTTGTAAGGAAATTTGTCACCCATCTTAAGTTATCTGAACGGATTCCATAATAATCTAGCTTGTGAAGTAATTTCTGGTGGGGGATGACATCAAAGGCTTTAGAGAAGTCATAGTGGGCAATTGAGTTACATGACCACAAAGACTGTATTGTACAAGGGCGTACGTTGAAGTCAAGCTTTTTATATAGTGTGGGCGGGGCTGTTTTGTTGCCTTCAAAATAAAATAACCAAACATCAACTGCAAAGCGTCTGAGAGTGAATCATTTGGCCTTTCTTTCATCGAGAATGAGCTCCATGTTTGCACTTAATTCAATAAATAAATGAAATAATTAAAATAATTGAATTAGAATTCACTTACATCAGACCATATTTTGAAGGCTTCTTGTGACATCTGAATAGCTGTTTCGTAGTCTTCCATTGATGCCTGGACAAAATCAAATACAAGAATTCATCTTCCTGTGAGTATTCAATTTAATAATGTATGGCACGAGACTAATGAGAAACTTAGTGTTGGCGTAAATATTCATAAATGAATGATACACGCCAATAAAACTAAAACAACAGCATGATAAAGATGAACAACATTTTGAGGTACTGGTACTGTCATAAACAGATACAGTCAAACCTGCTTTAGTGACCACCTGCCTACAAAGACCACCTGTCTACAAAGGCCACATTTGTTGTTTCCCTTGAAAATGGTTTCTCATTGAATCGTGTACTAAAGGAACCTGTCTACAAAGACCACCTGTCTACAAAGGCCACTTTTTGTGTTTCCCTTGGGTGGTCGCTATAGACAGGTTTGACTGTATATAACTTCTATTTCTCTCCCTTGTCTGACATGTGGTCTAAACTGTAAATTAATATTTTATTCATAAATGCATTTAAAGTTTTCAAAGAGGTACATGCACATGTACATAATCACCAACATACATGTAGGTCAAAGATTTTAACTTACTCAAACATGTCTGAAGTCACCATAATTTGAAACCCATTTGACATCCCCTCCTGCAAGATGGATTGCATTCCCTTAAAAAAGTTGATTTTAATATTCGTTTGACTAATCAGACCCTCAATCATTAAGATGTGAATGTCCAGATGTCAAAGCAGTCAGATCGTAACATGCATAGTGGTTTTAACACAATCATCCATCCTTACTTTACTTACCAAGGATTCATGTAATTCTTATAGGCTTAGTAAATGATAGAACCATGGAGAGGAATAAACTGACTTGCCTGTCTGACTCTTGCTATGGCTTGTCCATTGGCAGGGCAGATGGAGTCCACAACCTGCATCGAAAAAAATATTGGAACCCGTAATGGCACGATTACATTACATGACCCATGAAACCCACAAATAATTTATTCTTATTCAAAAACAAAAGCAAAACTTTAATAAATTTCCCTCTTTTTCTGTATACTACTGAGTGTCAGAGTGGTGTGTTTTTATGTTTTTTCTTTAACTTTCATGGTGACAAAAACTGTGACATTAATATACTTTTAATGTTTATATTTAAGGGGGGAAATCAACATCTTAACTTAAGAACAATATTCATCTAGACTATCAATATCATTTGAAAACAGACCTTCAAATTAGCCAGCTCAGTGATCATGATGAAACACTAAAACAGTTTGTGCCATAATCTAGACAAATCTAGGACCTATGTTCTGGACCAAGTCAAGTGGACCTTTGGAGATGTTAGGTACCAGTACAACAGTACACTCTAGACCTAGACTGAATATCTCTTTCGTTTACCCTCAGCTTCCCTTACATTTGTACGTGCATGGGAGTGATATCATATTCGCACGTGATAGGTCAAGCCCCCGACACACCTCCAAACATCAGCGTGCACCATAAAGGAAGCCATGTTTGTTCAAAATTTTCAAAATGCAGTTCAGCCACAGAATAGGAAGTCTTTAAATAATTTATTCTAAATTCAAATGTATTTTCCATGGATTACATAATATATTAGTATCATCCTCATAAATAGAAACTACAGTGATAAAAAGACACGAAATACGGACTATAAAATGATGCCTCGCAAAGCTGCGGGCAGCCAGCGGCACTATGGTACAAACCTCGCCACGTCCAGCCCATCGATCTCCAGTGAAAGCCCCGTCATTGTCCGCTCCTAGCCCCAACTCTTTCAACCAGCCATATTTTGGATCTTCGATAAGAAGACTGGAACTAAATCTAGCAAAAAGTGGTCTTTTCAGTCGGAGGGTTTGATGGCTAACCCTCTTCAGCATGTGAACAGCCATATTTCAGCGTAATTGTTTGTGCGAATGTGAGAAATATTTTCTCAAGAAATATCTTATCACAAGAGCGCCACAGGCAGAGTACAGATACCGGTATACCAAGATAGGCGGTCGACTTCTTGTGCCAGGGGCGAGCGCGGCAGATCTGGCCGCTGAGATCCATATTATTTTTAGTCAGAGGATGGGAAAGTCACGAGAGGAAAATCAAGGACACATTTGAGAAAAAAGTGACATCGTCTGGGAGAGGGGATAGGAAATTAAGTGCCCCGCCCCCCCCCCCCACAGTGGCGGATCCAGGGGGAGGAGTCCGGGGGGGGGCCGGCCCCCCCCCCCCCTTGAGAAAAATCATGCAAAATCACGCGATTTTTACCTTTTGGGGGGTTGGGCCCCCCCCCCCCTTGAGCGCCAGGAAATTTTAAAATTTCCGAGGACCAAAAAAAAAATTGTGCTCACTACCCCCCCCCCCCCCCCCCCCCCCAACGCCCTAGCTTGTACATGAAGCAAAAAGGGAAGAAAAATTGAAACTTTCCCATCCGAAATTGGGAAATATAATGCTATTCGCAAAAAGGGGCTATTTTGATTGATAAGAGGAGTGATAAAAAGAGAAAATAGAGGTAATTTTCATTGTTGTTGTTGAAATTGAAATTGAAATAAATATTTATTTTCCATTTGAGAATATAATTATTTTGTTTTACTGGTAAATAGTTCACAGATCAATTAATTACTGGTTTGCCTGGTTAACTGCATTCATTGTGTGTTGTTGTTTCTTCTTTTCTTTATTTCATCATTTCACCAGTCATGTCGGATTCTATTTAACACGGGGGGCCGGGGAAGGGAGAAAGTTCCCTTCAAATCCACTCACGGAGTTGCCCGATATGGCTGAGTTTCCATTTCTGGCCTACAACTCTGCTCTGCACGGTGTAAAGCCCCAACTAAAAGTTGAATCCTTGCTCTTCAATAGTCCGGAATTTTCCGGAATTAAAGTGATTGTTTCATATTTGATACCCCGGCCGTGAGCCTCCGCCACCATGCATGGCCGGGGTCAAGTTCAAAAGATAATATTTTCAAAGTAAACTTGCATTAGTTCATGCACGAGCTAGCTGTAGAGGGTTACTCAAATCAAGTTGAAATTATAAAATAGCACCCTTGGAAGAACAAAAATCTATACATGTAGTTCTCTAATTAGGTGGGGAAAGGGGCATTTTCGGCTCTTCTTTTCCAATACTGGATCCACCCTATATGCTCCATGTGCTAGAAATTCAATAGTACTTACGCAAAACAAAAAAAACATAACAATTTTCAGCCCCCCCCCCCCCCCATGTAAGGGGAGATACCAGGAGGTACCCCACTCTTCGTTACAGAAATCAAAATAGAATCTTGATTGACTAATTATTGATTGATTACATTCGTCAAGTATTATGTACATTTAAACTATTGAATATATACAAGACAAGTATAAGAATACTTGGCATGAATAACCCGTGAAAGCTAATAATAATCGTGTCCTACATACATTGCACGTAGATTATGTTTAGGAAATTGAGTTAGAATTTGAATAGGTGGGTAGCTCTTTTTGTAACGATTTAATAGAGAAACAGTTCATGCTACCCTTGATATTTTCACAATTCTTGTAGACATTCCATGATTATCTTCTAACCCCGATGTACTATATAGGCCTACCCTTCAAAACTGTTTGAGAGCCATTCTATAGTGTCTTTGGAGCGTTGAAATTATTTCCAGTTGAATGGTTTTATTTAGATGTTTGATATACTTTAGGTTATTGTTGAAATAATTAAAGAGACGACGAAGAAGAAGATCGAGAACCCGGAAAATACAAAAATCAGCAGTAAATATTTCTGTTTATCTTTGTAACGAGCATATTTTCAACAGGCTACGCGGTTTGGCTACTCGTCAGTGATCAGGAATCAGACTGGTAGCCAACCAATTCTAGACCGTCTCCTCCTTCCCAGAAAAAAACATATATCTCGAAGTTCAGCCAGGGAGGTGAGACTTTTAACTCACATGCCCTGGTTCAGCTTTACATGCCTATTCAAAATGTTGCATGATAACAGAATTATGTTTTCATTTTTTTATTACATTTTTCTATTAATGACATGAAAGATCGATCAGCAGACCTTATATAAATATTGATTTCATGAATGCAAGAGTGAGAGATAGAAAGAAAAATACTCCATATCGAGTCCATTGCCAATGCCACGATCGAAACTGTGCGTCACAATGCACACACTGGCTGCATAAATATACTCGGCGCAAACCAGGCAGACAATAGGATTTGTTGACAATGGGTAGCCGAATATTAGGTTGATAAATAATATTCATCTTGAACGCATGCATGCAACTCGGTTATTGTGGAGGGGATTACAGCACACGCATTGTCAATTTCGACCTCAAGTCGGCTCAGCCCCCTGCAATTGACCAGTTTCGTGATCAACGCAACGGGACGTTAATTATCGATCTGGTATTAGTTGGAGGGAAGGCTGTGTACAAGATGATCATGTTACCAGTATCATGCAATAGCTAATGTGATGATCTGATATAGACTGGACTACATTCGTAGTAACTGAATCGACTAGACTAGACTGCGAAGGGCGAAAGTCGTCTCGTTAATGTTGGATAACTGTGATAATGTGCATCGTCTTGGGGGTAAGTTTCCATCTTTCAGTACTGTAATTTGAAAACGTGCAATTTTGTAGTATCATATTATCAAGCTGTCTTATAGAGTTATCTGTTCAAGGACATTCCATTCTGTTCGTAATGTTGATGAATCCATAAGATTTCACGATGTAGGAAGAGGGGGAAGTTACCATCAGAAACAGTGAGGGGGGTTGTGTGTGTGTGTTCCGATAAGCTCACTCGATCAGAGACCACTTGCATTTAAACTTGGTTTTGCAATCATTGCAGCAGAATTTTTTTCTGAGGGTGTTTAGGATACAATATGCATTGATTATTTGTAATTTCATTTGAAAGATCTAGGGGTCAATGGGGGTCAATGATTATCCACTGAAGATCATGAAAGACTTCTTCAATTTCAGTTTCAGTTCACTTTCAGTTTTGGTTACATTTCCAACAGAATTATCAATACAAACAATTATGACCCCCCAAAAGTCCTCAAAAAGTCAATATACATCATTATAATGCATTTTGCAAGCCATTGATCGAATGTACATATTTGCTGTAATGAAATTATGTATGCTTTTTTATAAGACAAAAACTGTAGACATGGAAGGATCCACTAAGAAGCAAAGCTTGTAAAATGTGAACCCCTCAAATAATCTTAAATTCATGTAATAAATACATCATAATTTAGCTCGAAAATAATAGGGGGAAGACCTGGGGGGAACAACAATTAGTGCCAATCAAAAAAAAAAGAATTCGTATTCCAAAATTTAGAGAGGCAATGTTACAGTCACTTTCATTATTGTTACGAATACGCAAATGAGATGATGATTGATATGCGAATTCCAAGATGTGGCTCGAGTTGAGAATAATAAACGGATCAAAGGTAACCAAATCGTCTTGATTTTCTTTATATATTATGGTGAGTTGTGGAAGGACCAATGTGAGTTGATTGCCCTGACCCAACAGATTATATTGATATATAAAGAAAATCAAGACGATTTGGTTACCTTTGATCCGTTTATAATTCTCAACTCGAGCCACATCTTGGAATTCGCATATCAATCATCATCTCATTTGCATATTCGTAATATAATGTAAACAAATTACATTTTTGGAATAAAGTTGCATTACCAAATAAGTTTGGTGGGGGGGGGGGGGGGGCTACGAGGGTTTGGCCGAGCTACATGCATTATTGTTACAACCTGTTGCCTCAATGATGCTATTAGGTTGAACAAAACATCTCCTTGTTCAACGTAACGTAATGTACTATAGTCTAATAACATGAAATGCATTTAGCACAATCTGTCTGATATATCAAAGCTGCCCCAAAACAGCGCCTGTATAAGTTATGGCTTTGTATTTTTCTCGCTCCTTTTGACGGTTAAAAACAAATCATCGAGTTTGTAAACACTTCGTTTGTTCTTAATCGGAGCGCATAGCGAAACGCCTCAAAAGCAAACGTTTGTACCTCGATCTGATGACTCTGTTTTGAGTTTAATTTAATATTTGATGTTTACACTATTTGGTTCTCGACCGTGCATGATAGATAATAGGTGGACATATCAACGTTGCATGACATCATCTAAATCGGGAGTCCTGAGGCCAAGAATAGCTTGAAACGGTCTGGTGGTCGACCTTGACAAAATGAAAAAGGTAGACAGAAACGGTAATTTGTAGATCCCCAAATGAGGGAAAATACGACACTCATGCAGTTAATTCAATTCAAATCTTTTATTCATCCAAATTCACGAGAAAACAGGGAAATTTGTTTGGTCACACATTGTAAAAATACGTAATATATATATTGTGAGAAACTATATCGTTGTGTTTATAATCATAAAAGAACCATCAAAATAAAGGTAGACGAAGTAAAACAAAATCTTATATTCTAGTATTATTGAAAATGATTAAAAGGATAGAACATCAGTAACTTATGTTGATTTTGTAGTAGGCCGATATCACACTATGGTAGTACTAATACTCATAGTCTCATACCCATAGATGTCTATCAAACGGACAGCTAGCCCCTGATGATGAAGTTCCCCCCCCCCCCCCCCGGACGCGGACACAGTGCAACCAGACAATTACCATTCGGACAACTACTCGTTAATATTCAAACCCTTCTCGACGGGTAATTATTTTACGAGTAGTATAGTTATCCGGGTGGTACAGTGTACGTTTTATAAAAGGGTATAGTTGTCCGGATGTTCATGATAAAAGACTGGATCTTAATTATTGTCATATTCATGGTTTGTCTGGATAAATGATCTGGCTGAATAATATAGGCCTATATAATATGGTTGTTTCGTATGTGATTATCCGTTTGGTAAGAGTATTTTCGTCTGGGTACTATACTTTTCCGGGGGTAGTATAGTCCATGCAGGGGCTAATAGGTCTATATATAGACGCAATCTGTCACTCTTCTCTATCTCACACCTCACATGAAACCTTCCCATATATTTATCCTTTAAGTCTCTCTCAAGGTGGTCACCTCCATCTGAATAGATTTCTTCCTTTGTTTTTCTGTCACTCATGATTTTTGACTGGGCCAAAACAATATACCCAATAAACAACAATTTTACGGATGACCATCACTCTGGTCAGCGGGATAGCAAATTATTATAACCTTCATACACTATGAACATAACAGACAAAGAAAGCGGACAAAATATACAGTTCCTCAGGTAGACAAAGGAACATCCCTTCACTGCTATTATGTAAAAAGGTGAATATGCATGTGACACCTGTTCTACACATTTTTACATAATAGCAGTGAAGGAATGTTCCTTTGTCTACCTGAGGAACTGTATATTTTGTCCGCTTTCTTTGTCAGTCATGTTCATAGTGATATCTGTTACCCCCACACCCCCCCCCCCTCTCCCTCTCTCACTCTCTCTCTGTCTCTCGCTGTCTCTCTCTCTCTGTCTCTATATCAATCTCTTTCTTTCCCTTTCTCTCTCCCTCCCTTTCTCTCTTTCTCTCTCTCTCTGTCTCTCTCTTTCTCTAAGTCAATCTCTCTCTTTCCCCCTCCTCTCTCCCTCTCTTTATCGCTCTCTCTGTCTATTTTTTTCTTTCCATTCCTCTCTCCCTCCCTTTATATCTCTCTCTCTCTCTCTCTCTCTCTCTCTCTCTCTATCTCCCTCTCTCTCTCTCCCTGACAGTATATCGCTGTTGTCTGTCTGCCTCCAAAAATGCCTCTTTCTCTATATACCTTAATTCCTCTTTATCCCGAAGTGTATAATCCAGGTGGGCATTCATTGATCATATATCTCAGGCGGAACTAATTCCATGGGAATAATTTCAAAAAAACAACAACACAGAAATACATGTCTATGGAGACCTCTTTGGTGAGTTAAGTTACATGAAGCGGAACGCTCACGATAATAATAAAATGAAAACATCTTTCGTCATACCTTCCTGTACCTTTTTTGACAGTTTTCTATTGTTGTGCTCATTCAAAGTTCTCAAGAGACTACAGACCTAATCAATTTTTATAAATCATCGTTGTGCATTCTAGTACTATAAGGAAATAGGGCGTGCATATAAGCTTTTTCAATTTAATGTAGTCACCCGAAGAATCAAAAGTGTCAGTTTGAGTTGATGCAAAATTCATATTATTGCGAAGGAGAAGCCTTACAATTTAAATATAACAACTTCCCTCTTCAAAATAATGTTTAAGGTCCGCAGTAATCATCTCTCAAAATTTATAATTCGAGATTTAGATTTTCTGCCTTCAGCGGTCCTCCGTAGAACGTCAAGATTCGTGACGTCACATGCGAGACACAGCTAGCCACAAAGCATTTTACGCCTTTCCATGATATCTATATGATTTTTCAGCAAATTATTCGTGTTTTGGGGTGACTACTTTAAACCCAATCCAAAATGCATCGACCCTCGCTTCAGATGATCGGAGGTTAAATAATAACGAAAATGTAACGATATCAACACATTTGTATTATCCAAAATCTCTACATCCAATTCTTCTTTCAAAAAGCCTATACAAGATCAATGGATGCGAGAGCCGTATAATAAGGAGATTATAACCGGGGAATTACACGAAATCCCCCTTTTTTCAGTGTGAGCAGTGCCGAATTAATTCAGATTTCGACTACAATGATTTAATATCAACATGTAACATAATGGTTTCTTTCAAGTGTAATCCGAAAGTTATCAGCTCCTGCAGCTGCTTTCCAACACGTCAAAGATATCAATAACATCTAATTCGTATTGATTTACTTTTTAAAGTTGACTTATTCAGCCCGAACTAAAATACCTGCATTGTAGATGTCAGAATCCGAGCTATACAAATTGGGGAAGAATGGGGGAAGAAAAGCGGCTGATATCAAAGTGATAAGAAAGACACGGGGGTAGGGGAATGGGGAGGGGAGAAGGAGAGAGAGAGAGCGAGAGAGGCAGAGAGAGAGAGAGAGAGAGAGAGAAAGAGAGAGAGAGATAGAGAGAAAGAGAGAGAGAGATGGGATGGATTGACTCCTGAATTTCTACCGTTTCCAATAAAATCATTAAATACAATTCCAGTAAATTATCACTATCCTAAAGATTTAAACAAAATTGATGTACTATGAACATGATGAAAATTGTCAGACAGAAAATGACAAAATGTCACACTTTTTTTTATTATCTTCAACGATTTATATCTGTAATAATGATCATTGTAGATAACAAATAAGTGGAAATACAATGATTAAATAAAACTCAATTTTACGCTCCATTTAAAGAGATAATATACAACCGATGATAACAACTTGACGCAATATATTTAGAAGAAAAAAATGATGGCCATAACTGAATGCCGTATGATAAGTACAATTTCCAGTAAATTATCACCATCCGAAAGATATAAACAAAATTGATGTACTATGAACATGATGAAAATTGTCAGACAGATAATGACGAAGTGTCACACTTTTTACCCAACTTATGAAATTATTATCTTCAACGATTTATATCTATAATAATGCTCATTGTAGATGACAAATGAGTAAAATGAAATCATAAAAAAACTC